TAGGCCACCTCTGAACTGCTTCTGGATTAGGATTCAGCCCCCCAACCGCTGGCAGGCCAGCCATCACCCTTACCACACTCGTATGCATCCCATACCATCACCCATAACAGCCTGGGGTGTGTGTGTCAAAACAATCTTAATGCCACTTCATGGACCAGGATGGTCTGAGTGGGATGTTGTTGCCCCCTTCCATCCCTCACCTGGAGAAGACCATCGCCGAGCTCCTCTGCCATAGGACATTCCCCTGGTGCTGGTAGATGGTCCTGTTGTCAGTGCTGTTCTTTCTTCTTGCCTCCATTTTCCATAGAGAAGACACAATTGGTGTGGCCTCATGTCTAAGTAGCCACAAGACTCAGGCTGGGGCTCAACCCATCACTGCCGTGCTCCCACTACTGATCTCCCTGAGCTATTGGTTGCCATCACACTGTGCTCACTCTAGGACTAGTGTGCAGTGTACACTTCTCTCAACTGTGTTCAAATCTAATTAACACTTCCCTAGATCCTGCCTCTTGATCTAGTCTGCAAACTACCTCCAGACTCTGCTCTGTACATAACAAATGAAAGATTAGATTATTTCCACAATAGACTTCCAATATGTGAGAAAACACTAATTTCTAGGCAGCCACATGGCAAATTGCCTCAGTACAAGGCCTATTCTAAAAAGGAAGAGGATGATCTACTCAGGAGATCAGGAAAAGGAAAACTTGCAGCCTTGCCTAACTCAATACACATATGCCAGAAACTTTTCCAGCCCTTAATAAATTGCCTTCAGGTGCTCCCCCACTATATTTCTCTAAAGGACACACATACACATACACACATCAGGAGATCGGATAACAAACATCAGACTGCTTTGAAGATTTTGTAATACACCCTCTTCCCTCACATTGGCAAAACAATACTGGTTATCTTGCAGGCTTGGTATAACTCATAATCTCTCAACTACTCTCTTGTTTTTTGTAACATCTCTATATTGTTATCTTCATTGACAGGATAACATAAAAGTTCAGAAACAAAAAAACCCCACAATTAAAAAAAAAACTTTATCAGAAGTACTCCTACCTTTTCTTTAGGAATAAATGCATAACTCCTCTGGATGTCTGATTTTTTTATTTTTAGTAATCACTTCCCAGCAGGAAATATTTTTTTAAAAAAATCTCTGAACTGTGTATGTCCATCTCTGATAAGATTATTCATTCATTGTTTAAACTCACTGAAAAGCAAGATTTTTTTCCTTACAAACAGGCAAAGTGATTGTTTTTCCTTGTATCTTTGGTTCTAAAGTGCCTAGAAATTAGTTCTTTTTTGTAATGAAAACTGGGAATCGTGGGTCCAAGAAACACTTCCACTTCTCATTATCAGGAGTGTATGTAGAAGAATTAGCTATACCTCTTCAGTGTTCAGCCTAGAAGGATGAAGTGGAAGGACCCAAGTAAGATGGAGCCAATTTGGGACCAACTGAAGAAATGGAGTAACTTTGAAGTTGGCAGATACCAACCTGATTCCACCTCCAGAATTCTAATGAGAAAACTGCTACAAGTATCTGGGCCCTTCAATTCCTATTCTTCTCTCCCAAGGCAAGGAACTGTATTCTTAAGACATCATTTTTGAAATCAAAACTTTGCCTTAATTATTCATTTGAAAGTAGAACAGATGTTCCCCCCCTTCCTTCAGTTTTCTTCTCAGTGAGTGAGTGTATTTTTTTAAGTGACTATGTAAGTATGTATGTTGCTATGTTTTTATGAGTCTTCCAGATGTTATAACAAAGGTTGTAATAGTCTTTTAAATAGGAAGCAGTATAAGTATTTTTTGTTTTATTTATTTAAAAGTTACATCAAGATATATATCACCAATATGCTGTTATTCTAGTTTTTTGCCTAGTTTTCCTCAGCATATTGCTTGAAGTGCTACAAAAACTTGCAAAATTGGCTTGAGTAGAGGTAAGATGGCACTAAATAAATGTACTTAATACCTGCTAGTAAAAAGCAGTAGCTTGGAGATATTCCATCAAAGATATTATAATCAATCATCTATAAATAGCCTTAAGTGACTTGGAATGTATTACAACTATATTGGATTGAGCTGCAGTTTTGAACACTAGTTAGGTAGTCTGTGCTGAAATTGCCCAGAATGCGTTTTCTGCTAGTTGGCTAGTGTGCTATCTTCATTCATCATAGCTTCTTGATATCCCACCACCATGGATTCCAGATCCTTTTCTCCTATCTTGTTTCTCCTATCTGGTTATCACTGAAGAAAAACAATGGAATAAAACCTGGAATTGGGTGATGGGAAAGCTGATACTGCTCATTTAGAAATCCTCGTAACTTGAAAAATCATCTCACTCACTACTCTATGAGCTGTCATCTGGCCAGCTCTGTTTTAGACAACTCTGCTATAATGAGTAAGGAGTCTCATTTCATACCAAATTATTTCTTATCCTCCAAATTCTATTGGGCTATGCATTTTGGAAGCAAAATTAACCAAACTAATAAAAGACAAATGCTAACAACTCAGATAAACTACCAGTGCTTGAAAAGCAGACGGTACCTTCATTCCAAAGCAACTAATAACCTGACTCAAAAAAAAAAAAAAGCATGAATCACAGAGATATTCATTGCATTCTTTTTTTTCTTTTTTTTAAAAATAAAAATTGGTAAGAGCTCCCCTTACTGGCATGCTCTCTGTGACAAGCCTGAGATTAAAAGATGTATGTCTGATATAAAGCAATGTCAAATATCAGAAAAGAAAAAAAAAGCCTTGCTTTTTCTCTAAGAGTTATTCACTTTTCTTCCAACCATGGCAACAAGTGAAACCAAAAATGACAAAAATGTATTGTGGAAAAAAATGTATAGGGAGGAGAGGAAATAGCAATCTGATTCATTAAGCAGAGTAATGAGCCTGGATCTATTTGAAATATCTTGTCACCAACATAAAGGATATCAGTCTCCCAGCTGTAAAATGGGGATACTTATTAGGTTATTATTCTAAAACATGGAGATTATAAAGCATATTAAAATTGGTTCATGCATTATAATTATTAACAGTAATGGATCATCATGATAACCAGTTGGTTAATGGTGTTCTTTTTAAATTAAAAGGAAAACTTTGGGCCGAGTAGAAGCTGCAAAAGAAATGTATTTTAAATTCATTACAGTAAAGCTTACAGAAGCTGCTTAAAATGTTCCTCTTTTTTAAGATTTCAGAAATTAGCTATGTGATGATCATTAGCTATCACACGTGATAATCCATGTGATTCACTTATAAAATGATTGAGCAGAGATTATATTATGTACATAGCACAATTCCAATCAGGAATCAATACAGAGTTTCCAGAATCCAAGTTTTTCTCTCTTCAAAATGGGATAGCAGA